GGGCTTCGCTTCTTAAACTTTTGCGGCTCTCTCTCTCCTCGCATCGAAAAGCGGAATCTTGCGCGAAGGAGGCGATGGTCGGATCCCGTGTAGAACTTAGGGACAGCGACATCGGTCAGGCAAAACCTTCGATTGCAGATGATGTGGTCGATCTCGTTATGGAATTGTCCACCAGGAGACTCCCATGTCCAGCGTAGAGAGTAGGGCTTCTGGAACTGCGAGTTACCATGGATGGTATGGGTCGACATGATAAACTCAGACAGCCTTTCACACCTGCCCATCACTTCCGCTGTTCCGATGTGAAAAGTTCTTCAGCCGTTCTTCTTGGTCCGATCTTAGCGTTGAAATCACCGACGATGACCTTGAAGAAGGTATGATCTTCCTTGTAGAACTTCTCCAATTCCATATAGAACGCTTCGAGCTCATCCTCGTCGTAGCTTGATGTTGGTGCGTAGGCGACGAAGATTGTCAAAGCTGGAGTTGAACCACATCTTCTCAATCGCAAACGTCCGATTCGGGTCGTCAGACTTTCGTACGAATCGATGTTCATGGCCAAGTGCGTGTTGACGAGGACGCCCACACCGCCAACGCCTCTGCTGTCGCATGTTCCGAGGAAACATTCTTCTCCAGTCTCGTATACGGCGTGTAGCGGGCGATGCCTCCTCGTCTCGGTCAGTCCGATGACGTCGTACTTGATCTTCCTGGCTTGCAACATCAGATCTTCGATGTGAGCTTCCGATGCAAGCGTCCGTGCGTTGAAAGTACAGATCGTCATCCTAGTCCTGAGCTTAATTCTCCGTGGCCCGATAGGCAGCCTCGCCCGAGCGGTGCCAGCCGACCGTTTCGCCCTGTCGGTGGTTCCCTCAGATTTAGGGGAATGAGGCCCATGATTGTTACTGTTTGCGGCGAGGAAAAAATTTGACCACGCGTAGCTCGCCAGGCTCTGACGTGGCAACTCTCGCGCTTGTACTTTTTGGATACCAGTCCAAAACGCCTTCACGCCACACGCCACGATAAGGCTGCTGCGGATAGAATTTATGGGGGAATGGTCGATAAGATCCAGTAAAATGCCACCACCAAGGCGCCCTGGAGGAACACAAGCCGCGACGGCACCTATGCAACTACAGCGACTAAAAGGCTAAAAAGGAAAGCTTCCGAGTTGATCAGTCCGTCTTCGTTTGATGGCATGCACTCCTACTTCCTGTAGTCGAGATGACTCATGGTCTACAGCGACTAAAAGACTGAAAAGGAAAGCTTCCGTCGTTGATCAGTCCGTCTTCGTTTGGTGGCATGCACCCTACTTCCTGTAGTCGAGATGACTCATGGTCAGTGACAGAGATGTGACCATTACAATGACTCGTTTGAACCGGCCGATGTGAACTGAACTTATTCGCCCAAACGATTTGCTGGTCCCGAAAGGAGGAGGTGGGGTAGACGGTTAGGCTAGCCTGACCGGGAGCCGGTCCGTGATTTGATCCCCTAACCTCGCGAGTGCTGGGACGGCCACTCGCCACAGCAACGACTAGTGCTCTCAAAAATCATTCTCAATTCTAGGCGATGTTTTGGTATCCACGGTGATAGCTATTCTGGTAATGCTACCGTCTACTTTATCTGTCCTTACCACGGTAAGTCAAGACTGGTGTTCAAGTCAAGGTAAAGCATAAACTCCTCGTCTCGCAAACTCCTTTCTCGAAACTGTTTACCTTCCTCCTTCATTTCACAAGAGTGAACATGGCGCTTGTCCTCAGTCAGCGTCGACAGTAGTAGAGCATGACTTCATATCTGCAGCGTTGAGCATTCACAAAATGCCGCATGTGTAACGCAACTCGCCCTACGCATGTGATATTGGTTCCAGTTGGCAAACCTCACAATGTATAGTTAGTAACATTGCAATTTGTCGGGGGCGGCGAGCGCCGGCCGCCTTGCTCCACCAATGGTGATCGAGCAATGATCGATGTAGGAAGGAATCAGCCACTGGTGGGAAGGCCGCGGGTGGGAACCGCTGATTGCGACCCAACAGGTCGCAGTAGTATAAACTGTATAACATTAAAAGATACGCAGAAAATAAACTCTGCACTCGATGAAGAGAAGCACAAAATAGGAAGTTGGACAGATACAATGGGTTGATCAGGTAGTCGAGAGGAGTGGTAAAGCACTTCAGCGACCCTTGATGCACAACCCATCGGCAAGGATATCCACGCTCAGGGCGCGCCATCGCGTTGTGATCATTTTCTGGAAAATACAACCCCCCTATTTCCGTCCTCATACGACTCCCCCATGCTACCTACCACTTTTTCCATTTTTCCCAGAAATTTCCAGTTTTTCAGCCGAGAATTTTCCGTCGAGGGTTGGGGGAGGGGGGGGGGGGAGGTCGTCAGGATTTAACTATCATTTTCAACTATCGGAAATAGTAGTTGTATAGATCTTTGGCAGTCCCTCTCCCAACAACGACCAAATACGACCCCCCTCGCAGTCAAATACGACCCCCCCCCCACGATGGCGTGCGCTGCCCACGCTACGGTCGGATCCACAGCCGATATAGAAGCGCCATGAAGGCAAGTGGGACGCAACCTCCCTATCTACAGCGCTCCTTCTCAGAGGAAAACTGAAGGAATAACTAGCGTGGTAACAGAACACTCCCACCCCTAACCCAATTTCTTTGAAACTGTGTGCTCGTGTTTAATTATTTTGAATTGTTTGCTTCACTTATTTGATTTTGCGAGCCAAAAAATAGTTGTTGGTTCACGGAGGCTTCTATTTAGATTTCCAGGACAAGCTTATTGAGTGCTTCAAGAATGATACTGAACTGTCTAAATACAAATCAAATGGCGACCATCGTCATCTAATGGGTAAGCAACTCGCATGAATAGGGTAGAGGTCTCTTTCTCCCTTCGCTGTTGAGTAGCCAACTTTTCTTGGAATTGCCAGCATCGTTCAAGAAACTCATGGGCACTTAACCATGAAGAGCGAAGTACATACGATTTTCAAATCAAATTTACGACTTTCCAAACAACATTCGCGACTTTTCACGGTAGGCGGAGCTCACAGCTCAGCTTAGAAAGCTCAAGAAAGTGAAAAACCTGAAAAAAGCAAAAGGTCGCGAAATGCGCTGAAAAGTGGGCGTGGTCAAGGAGCGGAGCGTTGCGCGTCAGTGCGTAAATATACTCGAAATCCCTGAGATCGGGTAGGCGTGGCCGCATGTTTCAACTTAACCTGAAGGTGTCTATGCTTCTGGTGAGATATTTTCATCTTGACACAATTGTTGTCGTGTCTCTGTCCAACACAGAACAAGATGACAGTTGTCCCAGACTGGAATATTCCACGAGTAACCAGTTCCGTGCCATGTTCAAATGCCACGCCTACTCTGGCTCAGGGATAAGGAGTGTACATGCTAAGAAGACATCTGCTGCGTGAAGAGTCGATGCGAAAATGATGTTGGAAGAAGTCATGGTAATCTTAAATCTGCGAAAACTTTCTTGGAAAGTGAGCGGAATCGTTTCTGTGTTGGTAGTCCAAAGCTTTTCAGTAAGCAAAGAAACAGAAGCAGGAGTCATGAAGTAGAATTTGAAAAATTATGGCAGCGCTGAAAATTTGATGTATACTCTAGTTCGCTGCGGACGGTTGGGCGTGTCAGGCGGAGTGGGTCACCCCGTCAAAGCCGTTCTCTGCCTTCTTGTTGAAGCGCGCATGCGACAAAAGTGGTAGAAAACGAGTAATACGAACGATATGATACAGTCATATCATTTGCTCGCTTTAACAACTGGTGGAGAACGGGTTTGGCACCGCGCCAAACTCATCCCGCCTGACACGCCCAACCGTCCGCAGTGAACTACACTATAGCTCTCGCGATGGAATGTGGGACGCTAGTGTCGGTGTGACCTGGTTAGTTGACTGGCCGGTGTAAGGAGTTTGTCGAATTCGGTTCAGAATCGTGGATTTGAAAGCCGTGATTTAAACTGAAAATCGTGTACGTGGTGTCCCAAGATTTATGCTAGATTTCAATTAAATAGAAAACGCGGCATCACCAATAACGTCCGTTTGTGCCAAGAAAGTCATATAAACCACTTGCCCGTTGAGCATCCACATAGTTGGATCGCTCAGTTGATGCCGAGCTCTTCTCCTCCTTTCAACCAAACTGCCCCGGAGAATGAATGCTACCTTAGTGTAAAGGCTCTACAATCTTGAGAAATGGCAATGGCGGGAACGCTTCTTATCAACCTTTCTCAGTTGTTATCGCTTTCTGTCATCCATTGATGTCCTCTCCCACCCTCTGCATCACTTGCTGGAGTCTTGCTGGAACCAACGCCACATTGCTTTACCCTCGTCATCCGGGCAGTTGATTAGGGCGGTCGTCAACGGGCCGCAGCGCGTGCCAGGAACTATTTGCTTTTTCCAGGCTAATTTAGTCATTTTTTCCAACTTTTCACTGTTTTGGCTACTTTTTCCCAGATTAGCAGCTCCTTATCTTCACAAGGTGGAAAAAATGACTAAATTAGCCTGGAAAAGCAAATAGTTCCTGGCACGCGCTGCGGCCCGTTGACGACCGCCCTAATCAACTGCCCGGATGACGAGGTTATATTTGTGGCTCTCGCCCTAGATACCCATCAGAATTCATCAGCCGTTTTTCACCATTTCTGTTACACTCTAATAATATTCCTAATATTCCTGTGCCGTCCCCCATATCACATCTTAAAATTGACTTCCGTTTTTGCTGGGAGTGGCTTTATGAATTTCGTGACACACAGACAGACAAAGATATAGACACACACACCGCACGCACACACCCACACACACCACACACATACCACACACACACACAACTCAAGCGGATGTACTGTAGGATGTCTAAGTAAAAAAAAAAACCAGAACAAGTAAAAACAGCCCTTTCTATTATGATCCAAATCTGGCGTAAATTTGAGACAGCTCATATGAGACTATATCACTTTGACTTCTGTTGTATATAAATCCATTTAGCGCTTGGAATAACGCATAATTGCTACATGTATTATGGAAAAATTTTCGGAAGCTCGGGTAATCCAAAACCGATTGAGGGTGGTGGGGAAGAATGCAGAGACAAAAAAATATTCAGAATCAGATCGGTGAGTTCTTGTAGCACATGTTAACAAGTCGCCATCAATCAAGCAAGTTGTAAGTTCAAAAAATGCATTTATTGGATCTGTGTGAACTGAAGAAATTTTCAAATTTTTGAGGCGTGGCACAGCACACCTTACGAACACCTAGGCGAGCAGAAAGAGGTGGGAAGAATACTTCGAGGGACTTCTGAACGAAGAATTCCCTCGCAAATAGCCCACAGATAGAGGCGACGGCAGGTCCCATCACTCCCTGGACGAAGGATGAAGTCCGCCGAGAGCTAGGCAGAAAGAAGGCTGGGACGGGGCACCGATAGAGGCACGAAAGATCCCTTAGAGAGCATGGGGTGAGTTGGCTCACGCACTTCCTAAACAAGGTAACGGCTGAAGGAAGGATGCCGAATGAGTGGAGGAGCAGAGCTCATGCCCGAAGGTCCACCACTGATGCCATCTTCATCGCCAGACAGCTGATGGAGAAGTACCGAGAGAAGCGGCGACCCTGCTACCTAGCCTTCCTGGACCTTGAGAAGGCATTCGACCGCCTGCCTCGGCCTGTACTCTGGAGAGCGCTTAGAGAACGTAACGTTCCGGAGCACCTGGTCTCCATAGTGACGGACATGGGGCTAAAGCAGCTGTAAAATGGGGCTAAAGCAGCTGTACGCACCCCTCACGGCTTGACAAAGGAGGTAAACATTACGGTTGGGGTACACCAAGGATCAGCCCTCAGCCCGTTCCTCTTCCTCCTGACTCTGGATGTCATGGCAAAAGAAGTGACGACATCGCCCTGATAGCGGACAGCAGGGAAGAACTCCAGGATGTGCAGCGGTGGCAGATGTGCTCGCTGAGAATGGACTCCGGTTGAACGTGAAGAAGACCAAGTTCCTGAGCTCTGAAGAGTGTACCGAACCCATCGTAGACCGTCACGGCGAGAGCATCGAAAGGGTCGAGGACTTCCAGCCTGGGGAGCGACAGCAGCTGATGGCAGCGTGGACCAGGCGGTGAAGGCCCGAATCAACGCAGCCTGGATGAAATGGAGGGAGTCCACTGGCATCCTGTGCGACCGGCGGTGCTCGAGAACGCTCAAGGGCAAGGTGTACCATACGGTGGTAAGGCAGTGCAATAAAAAAATACAATGCTCTACGACAGAAAGTGCTGGCCTATCTGCAAGAACCATGAAAGGCAGCTGAGGATGCTGAGATGGGCCTGCGGCTGGACACGACTCGACAGAGTCAGAAACGAGGACGTCAGGGCGGTCACACAGACGGCTCCGATCCAGCTGAAGGCACGAGAGCAGCGACTGCGATGGTATGGGCACGTGCTGAGAAGGCCTGAGGACCACCCAATAAGGAAGGCATTGGAATTCGAAGCAGAGGGCAAGCGACCACGAGGAGCCCCAAAGAAAAGATGGAGGGACGTCATCAAGAAGGACCTCACTGAAGTGAAAGCCACGGCAGAAGATGCAGTGGATCGGAACAAATGGCGACGTCTAACAAGAACAGCGGACCCTGCGACGGCGCGGGACTAACGCTAGGGAGAAGAAGAAGATGGTAAAAGATGGTAAGAAGGGATATTAGATGCACCATGAACAGCATAAGACTGTTGAGGCGCAGTTTGTCGACGGTGGGGCATTCGGCTTTTCATAGATGTGCCGACCCATCTAGGTAGCCTTTTCTCGAGTTTAGGATGGTGGCTAGACGATCTTACTCCAGCTTCACAGGCGTTCACAAGTTTTACCATGGTGAGATTCGTAAACCGGAACTAGGGAAGCAATGTTAGTACAAAATGCCCCCCGTCGCTAAACAGCGCCGACTGTTGATACTATAGTTGCCTTTTATGAACAATTAGTGAATATCACTTGAGGTGTTCTAATGTGGCTTTCTGGAGTACGATACAGGTATAGGGCATGGCTGAAGCAGTGAGATGTATAGTGGTGAGGTGCGCGAAACAGAATGACGCTCAACGGCACGCCATAGCGGTTTTATCTCATGGGGTGGGTCTTTCGTGTATCTTGACAACCTTCGCGGAGTCAACTTCAACAATCCACCAGACGAGCTACGTGCCGTTTGTTGTTGCGCTTTCCCCTGAATTTGACCCGCTGCATTGGGACATCTACTAATAAACACTTTTTGTCACTGCTTGACAACCACCAAATTGCAACAGGCAGACGATTTTTGAGATCTTATGCTTAGTTCCCATACGATCTTTTTGTTCCGATCCTTCATATTTTCCTGTTTCGATTTTACCGTTCCAACGAGATTTTCGATTCACCAGGGAAGAGCACGCCACACGACTAGTTGACTAGTCCTCCTTGGATTATCGTCGAGTGCCTACTGCAATAAGTAAGCGGTGAGGTGAACAGGAGCAGGATCTGACGAAAGCAATGTTGTGAAGAACAATACAGGGACCTTTGCCAGAAGTGCTACAGCATTCCGGGTCAACTGAGCACGGTGCATTACTTAGTCCGTATGCGTCGTTGCAGTGTGTACTTATATGGATACCAGTAAATTTGATATGTGGCTCCGGAAGACAAAGTCAACAAGCTTCTCTATTGTTCAACCGGCAACATCTCTATGAATTAATTCCAAATTCCTATTCACCGATGGCCGTAAGCCAGAGTGCTGCAGCAGCACGGTAGACTCAGTGGTAATCATTAGCATTTTTCAGTATGGTGACACTCAAGATCTAGTGATTCTTGTTGACAGATTCGGGCAGCGAGTAAGAGTTCAACCCGCGCTCAGGTTGGTTGGCCATTTACGACTTGAATTGCACTGCCGCATGTATAAGTCAACATCCTTGAAGATGGATGTAGTGACTAGAGAATCTAGCCTTGTATTTTTCTGAAAAGTTCTCCGAAAGACAGTTACACCCCTGAATCCCGTAGATAATGGATCTCAAGCACGGAAGTTGAGGTGCTAACCGGGCAGCTCATTCAGCTGAGCGCGAGCTTTCAAGAACGGTTTGTTGCATGGAGGTTCATACATAGACCGCATTATTGAGTATGACTTCTGCTATGCGTGCTGCGCACTCCTAGGTGCGCCACTAATGAGGGGAGTTCGATAAAGAAGGGCGGTTTAAAACTTTCATAGAGCTCTATCCCGAGCGCAATGTTGAGCACGCATAATTAAAGGTGTTCGCCAGATATGCACAGAAAGCGGCATAAAACAAGGTCAGAAGTTAGGTTACTTGCGTGACATGTAGTAAAAACAGGTGAATTTGTCCAGCGATTCCTTCAGTCTTGGGTTGCCGGTCAAACTGTCAAACTGTCCAACCGATATGACAGCGTTCATTCTTTGCGGCAGTGTCCACCAGCAACCATCAGCGTTTCGAGAGTCCATCAGCATCAGCTACTAGGAAAGTGTGGATATCAATCTAGCATCTATTAGCGTCCATCCGGGTGCGCCAGCGGCCATCAACGTTTTCTGGTAAGTATGCATATCGATCTAGCGTCTACCGCCGTCCACCAGCGATCAGGAGTAGACAGTATGGAGAAGTAGGAGGGTAGCAGACTGCTGGTAGAGTATGGATAAGCAGAAGGGAGGAGACAGCCAGACCAGGCGTCGTGAATTTATGGCGTTCGCTTGTGAACGCTGGTAGACGCTGGCGGACGCTGTGATCGCTGGTATACACTGCCTTTTGCTAGATCGATAAGGCAGTGTTCAGGCCTCGCGACGGCCGCGCTTCTATCACGCGTTCGGGTGATCGATCGCGCCCTCGTGCGGCGCGATTGATCGCGTGCGCGATCGCGCTCCAATGCAAAGATCGACTGGACGGATGCTAGCTCACAGCCACTTTCGCTTCTTTTTCCTTCTCCTTCCGTTAGCTTCTCGCTTGTTTTTCCACCTTCCTACCACTATTTCTTTAATCTGTTCCTAATGTTTGTCGGTTATTATGCTTGTTTACCTTTAACATATTGAAATTTTCAGATACATTGGAATTTTTCGGATGGACGGTCCGTGTTAAGTGCGCGCACTTCCTCTATTTACTACTTTGATTTCTGAGGTGGATTTTCGGGTTTCCTGCTGTTTCGGTTAACTTTTTCATACTTATTTTTTTGCTGAGCTGCTGAATTGCCGTCCAAACCAAACACAGTATGATTGACATGAATGAAAAGGTTAGTCAAAACGCAGGAATCTGAAAAAGCCACCTCAGAAATAGAGGAAGTGCGCGCACTCAACACGGCCGTCCATCCGAAAAATTCCAATGTATCTGAAAATTTCAATATGTTAAAGGTAAACAAGCATAATAACCGACAAACATTAAGGAACAGAACAAAAATAGTGGTAGAAAGGTGAAAAAACAAGCGAGAAGCTAACGGGATGGCTGTGAGTTAGCATCCGTCCAGTCGATTTTTGCATTGGAGCGCGATCGAATCAGTCGCGCTACACAATCGTACGCTAGCACTAGCGACGCGATCGATCGCGCCCGCGATCGATCGCTTCGCACGAGGACGAACCCGCGACCGAAGCGCCGCCGTCGGAAGCCTGAACGCTGCCTAACTATATTTTCCTAGCCGTTGGCGCTGACGGACGCTGGAAACGCTGGTACACGTTGCCGCAAAGTATGAGAGCGGCTCAATGCTCATATTCCTTGAACGCGGTCAGTAACCTTGCTGGTCTTTCTTGAGCCCCACCCTCCACGCTTGAGCTGACTTGAGTAATCTCGGACGAATAAGCAGCAACGCACGTGTTCTTTCACATTTCTCTCCAAGTTCTCCTGTGCCCATTGCAAGAGTTTCTTTGATCATTTGCATGCCTCGCACGGCTTTCGTTAATGATATGGATGCACCAAGAATTTTGCCATGTATAGTTTTTTTTCGAAATTTTGATACAGGTATGCTTTGCAGTAAAAAGCCCAGATATAACTCCAACGATACGGGTGGTACTGTTTGGCACTATGTGAACACTAGAAATCGACTCGAACATTTTTATTCGGACAGTGTCGACACAGGTGAATAAATGACTTGAAGTTAAAAGATTATAAACTGGATAAGGATAGCGCGAGCTGCTCGCAGTGACACATACCAATGTGGCAGAGACCGGCGGGTCGAGGTGGTGCAGTAGCAAATCGGTTACTAATGAAGCGGTTCTTCCTAATCTAATAGGCGGCCAGGTCATACAACAGTGAAAGAAGAAATATCAATATGAACAAGCGGAGACAGAATGTTAGTGGGATCGTCCCTGTATTGCTTGACAAAAAATGCCAGTGTTTTCGAGTTGCCTTTTGCGGATCTACTATTAGCAACAAAATAATGGATCTTAAAGACACATGGTACGCTCACACACATTGAGGGTGTATGAGACTATCAGCCCCCCAGCTGTCGATGTGTCGTGGTTTCCCCGCCCGAAACTGCACGGGGTCAGAGTACAGGGCCGTGGGAAAGTTTCCCACGACCCTGTACTCTGACCCCGTGCAGTTGTCGTCCATGCTCCGCCCAAAATGCAACTTGCGGCGCAGACTCCCTTTATGCTAACAGCCGTCCGCGCGGCGCGTGTCGCGCGCAGCTCTCTTGGCTTTTTGCCAAGTCCTGTAATTGCGCTTTGGAATACAAGTAAAACGCAATTTCCTGATGCGGATAACATTTTAGGTGCTGCAAAATAAGAACCGAAGATGATGACGAGGGCCAGAACTCAAGAGCAACTGTGCTGCTTCTGCAACATCATTCAGAGGCCGCGCATTCCCACAGAACTGCTTCTTCTTCTTATTCTTCAGCGTTTGTCCCGCTCTGTAGCGGGGTCCGCTCTCCTGATTTTGTTACGCCATTTATTCCGGTCGAATGCCTGATCAGGGTGAGCACCAACTATCTTCAAATCCGCGTGCAGCGTGTCAAGCCAACGTTGCCTGGGCGTCCTCTCGGTCGTTTGCCGAGCACCTCGAGCTGGAGACCAGTTTTGCAGACGGTGTCCGCCTTCGCGCGAAGTACGTGGCCATACCATCGGAGACGAGATTCTCGCATTTTATCAACTATGGAAGCTACGCCAAACTTCTTGCGTATGTCATCGTTGCAAATCCGATCCATACGGGTGACACCGGCCGTCCAACGTAGCATTTTCATCTCCATCACACTAAGGCGGGCTTCGACTTCCTTGGTTGCAGGCCAGCACTCAGCCCCGTACAACGCTACTGGTCTGACCACAGTTCTATAAATCTTCGATTTGAGGTGCTCCGGTATGGTCTTGTCACACAGAACTCCAGTCATCGAGCGCCATTTCGCCCATGCTGCACTCACACGAGAGTTCACCTCTGAGGTCAGACTGCCATCGGACACAATTTCTGATCCAAGATACTTGAAGGCTCTTGTGCGTGTGAGCTCGATGCCACTGATCCTAATGGAATCGGACTCATTTGTATCGGTCGTCAAGTACTCGGTTTTCTTGATGTTCAACTTCAGTCCGAATTTTGTCAGGCGAATAGAAAGTCCTGCGAAGTGCCTGATGGTGCATGCACGCGGCTCTTTGAGCTGGAGTACAGGATGCGCACCCACTCAATAAGCTCTTCCGGAACGCCGTGTTGCCGCAAGGCGTACCATATAACTTCACGCGGAACACGGTCGAATGCCTTTTCTAGGTCCAGAAAAGCTAGATGCAGTGGTACTTGCTTCTCACGATGTCTCTCCAGAAGACGCGCGGCATGTATGGCGTCGATGGTGCTACAGCCTGCCACAAAGCCGCACTGATTGATAGAAAGCTTTCGCGAATACGACTGTCAACAATACGCTCAAAGATCTTCATACTGTGTGACAGCAGGCGAATTGGACGGTAGTTCGAGCAGTCCGCAGGGCTGCCCTTCTTCTTCCAAATCGGAATCGTCGTGCTCTCTTGCCAGTCCTTGGGCGTCTTCTTCTCAGCAACGACCTGATTGAAGAAATCCATTGTTTTAGTTGAAACGTTGTCGTTGTCTACGTTGTCTAGCAGAGGAGAGGAGCAATGTCCGTGGTCTTTAAATACACTGCTCCACATAATGATAGTTCCACCCATAAATATTACAAAATCCCGTCTTACATGAGGTTTTCAAAAATGTCCTCAATAGAAAATGAGGTAATAATCAATACCACTTTGCATGCCAACACCGGGAACTGACTTGAAAGAACAAGTCAGTTCCCGGTGTTGGCATGCAAGGTTTTTTTTGTTCATTTTTTTTGAAAATTGACACTCTGACAATTCCACATAATGATAGTTCCACCCATAAATATTACAAAATCCCGTCTTACATGAGGTTTTCAAAAATGTCCACATAGAAAATGAGGTAATAATCAATACCACTTTGCATGCCAACACCGGGAACTGACTTGAAAGAACAAGTTTTTTTGTTCATTTTTTGAAAATTGGTACTCTGACAATTCCACAAAATGATAGTTCCACCAAACAAATCGAATATTCTGCCAACC